ATACAAGTAATGAGCAAGCTCTAACAAAATTAACTAAAATTTCTCTATCTGGTAAATCCAAAAGATCCCATAATAATGGAGTCGCATATACTAAAATAAAAGTCTTCTATTGATCGGCAGTAAAGCCAGAAAACCCTTCTCCAGTTAAAATTTTATTTGGGATTCAACCCGAATCGGTGGGTAGGTTGATGATTTTTGCCTATTCTTCTAATAATACAAGATCAATTTTGTTAAACCATTACCTTTTTACTATCAAATAGGTAATACTAAGAAAAAGGCAATGTATCAAATCAATGACAAAATATCAAATCGGATTAAAATAAAGCAGCCTTAACATTTCTGACTAACGTATATGTGTATCAGAAACATGCTGCTTTCATTTTTTGTTTTGCATTGCCACCATCCTTCAGCATTTCTGAGATGTTCATCAAGGTCTCATTCTTGAAACCAATTATCCATATCTTCTAACCCACCAAAATTTGGTTTTCTACCTCCTGTATTTGCACATTTGCAGCATTGATGGTAGCCAGTTAATGCCTATATATGACCACACAATTTTCTAGCAGCCAGAATATCATTTGAGCAGCAAATGACAGCTAACCTAATTCTTTTTCCATTCAGAAATTTTGTTGAGATTGGTATAACATATCCATTTCACAATTCTAATAATTCATCCACTATCGGGAAAAAGTAGTGGTTTATCTGATGTAACTTTACCTCTTTGGGATCTGGTAGTAGTCCAAGTATCAATATATTTTCCTTTTTAAATTGAACTTCACGTGAAAGGTTACATATAACACCATATATGATGCCACAACTATATACTGATGAATCGAATGGTTGGAACCAATCGAGATTTATCATAATTTCTAAATGAGAATCAGCAGTTTCTAATGTAAAAAATCGTGAAGAATTAGATGTATCAATTTGTGATGGGAAAGTTTTCCAAATTTCTCTATCATAAATATTAGTTATCAGTTCAGTATCATTCCAATTAGTCCATTTTTCAAAAGTGATTCAAATCCTGATCGCTGATACATTATAATCAATTGAGCTTTCAAAAATGGCAAGGGAAAAATAATCTTTGGTTTTCTAATGTAACCTTTAACAATCAATATTTGTTTTGTTATTTCTGTTTCACAAGAACTCCTCTGGCCTTTTCTCAGATGATTTAAAAATTCCACATAGGTGCATTTAAACCTATTATTTGACTGATCGTTCACATTTTTTTGCAAAATTTCTGAAATTTTATATAATGTATTGCAATCT